ATGCCGCTCAGAAAAAAAATCAATAAGACTCTTATATTTATTTTCTTTTGCTTTATTACAATAGAAAAAAATTGAAAATGCACAAATAAAAGGCGCATCGAAGGTAGTATGACCTCAAAATTCGGCCAAAAGCCGAATTTTTATGAAATCATATATTAATATGGATCCATATGGATGAATAATTCGGCCAGCTTGGGCAGAATTTTTCACCAGAATACTTTGTAAAATCTGAGCAATAATTCGGTCAATTTGGCCGAATTTTTCACTCAGAATTTTTGAAAATATAGACGAATTATTCGGCTATAGGTGGCCGAATTTCGAGATCATACTACGGCATCGAATCATCGATCGCAGTCCAAGTTTTCAGTCGCAACTTTGTGAAATATCAATTCTAGTTCTGCAGGATTTGACATCTCGTGCGCCACAGGCACCTTCCGTAAAGCACAGAAATCACCTTCACGAATGGCATCCTTTGAATGAAGAATTCCTTCGCAGATTTCATTCGAGCTTCGCGCTTTTTCTCGCATTCCAGAGGCATCAATAAGGGAACCAATGTAAACATCGTCCAACGGCAACACAGATACATCGGAAATTGCTTTCGCCAAATTCATTGAAAATTTCCCAGTTGTCAAATAACCTGCGCCCAGAGTTCGAAAATCTGAAAGATAATGGCGACTGCCACTGCCAAGCGTCTGCCAGCTTTTTTAAAATGGCGACTGCCAATGCCAACTGACTGCCAAAATAGGCAGCTGCCACTGGCAGCCATAGTTGGAAAAACACCCAAAAATCGCGTGCGCGTGCGAATTATTATCGAAATCCGAGTGCGCGTGCGTGCGTGCGCGTGCGTGCGTGCGCGCACGTGCGAACACGCCTGCGTATTTTTCAAGGTATATTTTCAAGTATTTTTGGCGAAAATTTTGGTTTTTTTAAGAATTTTTCTTATGAATTATGTTTTATGAAGACTTTATACCTATAGAAGGTAATCAGGGGCTCTTCCAAAAGAACGAAAAATTATTTTTCTTTGTTAAGGTATTCGCAAAATTTCCGAGGAAGGAAAAAAACTCCAAATTCCGAATAAAAACCCTTTTTTATCCTATTCGTGCGCGCACGAGCGCGAGTTTTCGAAAATCTTGCGTGCGAGTTTGTGCGCGTGCGCCGTATTTTCAAACTATCCAGTGGCAGTTACCAGTCGACTGCCAAAAGCTGCCAATTTTGATACTATTTTTAAGAATTTTTAAAGTCAAACTAAGTTAAAAACAGTCTTTTTGACGGTTTAAACTTATAGAAGAGACAATATCTGAGATAAAAATGTCTCTTTTGATTAAAATGATTGAATAATTTAGGTCTCGAGACTCTCGAGTCGAGAGCGAATTTGGATCATAACTTATGATTCATAAGCGTTGTTTTTTTTGTGGTTCTTGAAAGAAAACTTTATAAAGAAATTAACATCTTTCGAAGTTGAAGTAGGTTGACAGCTGTCAGCCCTTGAAAAATTTAACTGCCACTGCCAAGTGACTGCCGATATTGGCAGCTGCCAGTGGCAGTCGTGGCAGTACTGCCAACGAATTTCGAACTCTGCCTGCGCCAGAATAGAAATCGGGAAGACCATCTTCTTCAAAGAGTTGTTTTGGGATAAAATACTTGCTCTTTAGGTTTCTTATTGCAAGAGATTCCTTTTTCAAGCAGCCGAGAGCTTCGAACTCGTCCGTGTTCCTGAGCTTGTCAATCTCTTGTTTGAGATTTCGAGGGATCAGAAGGATGTCATCATCGCCTTTGAACACGAATTGGACAGAAGAGCAGGATTCTTTGATGAACTTTAGGAAGGCGATGTGGTAGTATGACCTCAAAATTCGGCCAAGTATAATTTGATTTTTTTATTTTTCCTAATCCTACTCCTAACCCGGGGGCTTCGCTTCCTGGGACCCCCCCTTGGGTAAAAGTACGCAGTTCCTAACCCTAAGGCCTAACCTAGGGGGCTTCGCCCCCTTGGAGCCCCCCTAACACTAACCTAAAATGAGGGTGGCCGAATTTTGAGATCATACTACGGGCGATGTCTTTGAAAGGTAGGTTGTGATGGCTTTCTTCCATGTCGAGTGTCAATATGTCATTGTTTTTCTCGATTTCTTCCTGAAGAGCATTCTGTTCTGATGATCTACCGTATTGTGGTCGGCAACTAGTCAGGAAAGCAAGGGATAGGCTTCAATAGTTTGAATTAAAAATGCAATTTTTTGAGTTCTTTAGCTTTTGCTAGGCTATTTCGCTGTCATGTAGTCTATAGAAATGGGGTAGACTATACGGGAGACCCTCGACTCGCCGGGATTTTCGCCTGATCCTCGACTCGCCGGGAAAAAATATGCAGACAGAATCCCGGCGAGTCGAGGGTCACCAACCCTAACCCTAACCCTAATCGCTAACACCATTTCTCAACACTAACCCTAAACCCTTACCTTAAACCCAAACTATAACTCCTACTGAACCATTTCTTAGGGAAATATTTGGTAAGGAATGATTTAAAATATCAAATATATCTGCGTTAAAAATGGGTTTAATTGATGATTCTAGCAATTTCTAGAAGACCCTCGACTCGCCGGGAAAAAAAATGCAAACTCCCGGCGAGTCGAGGAAATCCCGGCGAGTCGAGGGTTCCCGGACTATACTGTATAGTCTATACAAGATTTTACGATACAGATGTAAAAAGACGTAAGGGGGTGGTGGTCGAGACTAAGATTTTTCAACCTAAAAACCTCAAATTTTTTCGAATAATATATTTTATCTCTCAGTGTACAGTGAAAACCCATTTTAAGGCCACTTTTTGGATGACAACGGATTTCAAAAATGGCCTTAAAATGGATATTTTTTGCCTTGCGTCGGATGACAACAAATTTTTCCATTTTTCGGACAAAAATGAATCATAACGGGGGTCTATACGGGAATGCCCGAGTCTACTGCATGTTTCTATCGCCCGAACAAAGTATGATTCATAGCAATTGCCAAAATATGTTGTTTAAATTGGACTATAGGTGATTCTTTCTTTCATTCTCTCAAAAATATTTTTTCTGCCAACATGTCAGAGAAATGGATCAAAAATCTCTATCGAAATCGTCATGCACTCGAAATCTTCGAGAGGATTATTTACGAGAAGAAATCGATCAGTTTGAAGATCTCGATGTTGAGTAAGTGTTCTGGACAAACAAGAAAAAGAATTTGTCGAGCATTTTCTGGCGCTTCAAATTGATGAAACGCGTCCAAGTACTCCTATAGAGATTGAAGAAGTGCCTCAAGTTCAAGTGACAGACAATGCCGACACTGAAAAGCCATCGACTTCAAAATGGTCGAGGATACAGTCGAAGGTAACTAGCTTTTTTCTAGCGAAACTGTAACTTTCGGAATTCGAAAAAAAAGTGGCCTTAAAGTGGATTTTTTTTAGGATGACAGATTTTGGAGATTTTTCGAAAACGTGGCCTTTAAAGAGTGGGCCTTAAAATGGGTTTTCACTGTAAATAAGTTAAAAAGGGTCCAATTTGTGTGGGCGGCTAATTTTGAAAAAAAAAATTTTCTCGAAAAAATGGCGAAAGATTCCCTCAAAGTAGACCCATCTCTTTACCTAAAAAAGTCCATCTCCTAATCATTTTTTTCTTAAGGGACCTTGGCGAGCAAGATCGGGCGCTACTTCAAGCGCGCCTCATATATTTTTCACTAGGTGTTTTTCAAATTTTTTTTTTGAAAAAAATATCTACAAACACTTGGCGTCCTATTCCAGCTTTCTGTTTTTCTCTATCATTTATAGTAGTTTAGCAGTAATTGCAAGAACGCCCGCCGCGGAACCGATCCACTCCGGAAAAAGCTCCCTTGATCTCGCCAGGTAATTGCTATCATAGACCCTCATAAGCAACTTTTGTAGAGAATTGTCTGCTCTTTCTGCTGAATGTGCTTTCAATTTCATACAGTGAAAAATGAGGGCGCTGAATCCTTTTGAACATGAACTTCTTTCTTTCGCAATTGCGGCTTAACTATAAATGATAGAGGAAAACAGATAGCTGAAAAAGGAAGCCAAGTGTTTGTAGATATTGTTTGCAAAAAAATTTTTGATAAACATCTAGTCAAAAACATATGAGGCGCACTTGAAGTAGCGTCTGATCTATCTCGCCAAGGTCCCTTAAGGAGCCTTTGCTTTTGGCCAATTCAAACACCCTTGCTTGAACAGTATGATATTTGAAAACATATCAAATCAAGGACTGCCAGGCTTTTTCAAGGACGCAACTGTAACTGCCAACAATTGCCATTTTTTTAATTTATTGAAGATTATCAAAAATTAAAAAAAATAATTTCTGTTATATCTCCGAGTGTTAAAAAAACTAAGAAAAATAAAATTTATCTAATAAAAAATCGTCTCTTTTCAGAAAAAATTGAGAGTTAAATGAGGTGGAGTGGCAAAATTTAATCTTTATATTTTTTACTATCCGTCAAGAAAAAAATGCTATTTTTTCGAATTGAGAATTGGTCGGGAATTGACAGTTTTTGTTCCTTTTTGTGGATGTTTGTTACGACAATTTTCGTTAAAATAGCCATTAAAGTTGGCAAGAATCCGGATAAAAATGTACCGCCGCAGTGTCAAAATATCTTCCCTAGTAGAGTGGCAAATTTAATCCTCGAAACGTTTTTCTGTTGCTTTTATTTGTCGTTTTTGTAACAGTTGGTTGCGCAGATTAAATACCCTTTGTGATTTTATGATTGGTGACGCTTTATCCGCTGAGCGGATTCCGCTCTTTCGGGGTTCACTACCTATTCAATCCACTTTAATCTTTATCTTTACAAATATAACATACACAAATGACGAAAATGTCAACAAAAGAGAAAAAAAACTGTACTGCTAATTCTTGAAGAAGAACGGCATAAATTGGCAGCTACAAGGGGCAGTCGTTGCAGTACTGCCAATAGACTTTCAACTGTGCTCCAAAGCAAGCAGTGACCTGGTGATTTTTTCTGATAAACAGGCCAACTCACAAGCTACTGGCTAGTTGCCGACCCCAGCTGCCGACGAGGAACACAACTTTTATCTGGACTCCTAACCATTCCCAGATATCTTCTCTGAGCCAGGTTTGTCGTATTATTTCTCTGGCAACAGTTGATTGAGGCATTGTCTTGATTCCAAAAATGATTGAAGTCCTGGTTGAATCAGCAAAATGACAGCTTTCAGGCTTTGCGAGGATCTTTGGGTTGAAATGACGATTGAATCTTATGATTGAATTTACGCTTGAATAGCCTTAATTCGATTATTAAATGAAAAAGAACTGAATGTACCTGGATAGAAGCATTTATTGGTGACAATGTCTTTTCTTCTGATTCCTTGAAGATCTGGATAATTTTCCTCAAGCTTTTCAAGATCAAGAAAAATGTCATTCACACTTTCTGAGCATTCATCATTGATTTTTATTGTTCCTTTGATCACTTGATCGTTTCCAAAGATTTTTATCAAAATAACCTTGAAAAAATTATTATTATTAAATTAAGGGGGGGGGGGGTCGTCAATATCCGGATTACGGAAAAACAAAAATGCGGGAAAACCTGATTCTATTGAAAATATTTGATTCCTTAGGTAAAAAGGGAAGGGTCGAAAAAAAATTTCTTGGAAAAATTTTTCAAAAATAAAGGTTAAGGGGGTCCCCATTGCTTTTGCAAAAGACGGAATTTTAAAATTCTTTAATAATTTTTAAAATGTAGGAGTTTATTGCAGTTTGCTTAGCAAACAACTCCTACATTTATCTACACGATGTCATTTATCAATTTTTAAAAAGCTAATGTAAAGAGCAACAAAAAATTTCTTGACCATTTTTCTTTATTGTCAAGAGAATGTCCCGAAAATTGAGCTTGAAGTCGCCGATTTTGATGTCTAAGTGTGAAAATGAAAAAATTATCCCATTTTTAAATCAGTCGTACTGCCTTATACGACACATTTTTAGAGAGCTTTTAAGCTCAGCTTTCTATGTATGCCAAAAAATAAGAGTCTGGGTTATGCCCGGAAGGCAATTCAAAGGGCCGAAATTTTTAAAATCGTACTTTTTTTTCATCGTCGATATTACATAAACATTTTTTGGGGTATCCAGCTATTCTTCATTACATTTTTAGATCAAGGTTAGTTGTTTCGAAAAACATACCTAGTTTGAAAAAAATCTGTTACTTTTTGGGCTTGAGGCGTGTTTGAAAATGACCCAAAATAGGTATTCTTCTCGAGTAAGACCTCTTTTGAGCTCTCTAGCGCCTAAACTGCTTGATAATTTTTTTTCTCCAAATTTACATTTTTAGTTGAAGGTTAGATCTACAATTTAAAAGTTGAAGAATTCAAAAATAAAAGAGCATCTGTTGGTCAGCGCTGTTCAAAAATGGGTGATTTCGCAAAAACCAATGGGGACCCCCTTAAAGTGGGGGCGTCTCCCGAACAAAAATTCTCAAAACCCTGACTTTTTTTCGCCAATCAAATATAATTAACAGATAGATGGGACCCTTAAGGGGGGGGGTCGTCAACATGGATCTTCATGGGTTATCAAAATCACACTTATACAAAAGTGTGCATATGAATAATATATTTTTGGAATTGTCAGATCCTGCTGAAATGAGACTTCACTTTTTTCTTGGCCTACCCTACTATTGAGCCTTAAATTTTCTGATAAAAATAAGTTTTAGGGGGTTAAATTGAGAAAATTGTTAAAAAATGATCGTTTTTGGTCGATTTTCGCGAAAATGGCCCTACTTTGACGGGATTTTCGACCCATTTTTTCTGGCAAAAAATTTTTCTAGTTTTCGCCGATGAATTATTTAAACCCTTTTCTATTCACCCGTAAATTCGAATTTCTCTCAACCAAGCAGGTTTTCCCGCTTTTTTGTTCAAGAGAAACCCCGATATTGACGACCTCCCCCTTAAGAATTAATCGGCAATCAAATAATTAAGGGTCAGTGTCTCAGAAAAAAATGGGTGTAGGGCGGCCACGTCCTGCAGCAGAACGGCGTTCTGAAAATGCAGAACCGCCGCACGCTTATAGTATAAGCTTATACTCAAAGCATAGTGCGAAAAAATACGTGCGCGTGCGGCGCACGTGCGCATGCGTGCGTGTTTTGCGCACGCGCACGCACTCGAACGCGAGATTTTCGAAGACTCACGCACGCGCACCCGGAGATAAAAAGAGCGCACGTGCGCGCACGCGTGCAAATGTGAAAAATAGGGAAAAATCTCTTCAAAATTTTGAGTTTTTGTCCTTCCAAAAAATTTTTCTCAAAAACCTAAACAAAGAAAAATCATTTTATTTATTTATATATATTTTTTGAAGAGCCCTTGACTTATTTCTATAGAATCAAAGTCAATATTAAACTTAATTTATACAAAAATTGATCACAATTACCTAAATTTTAGCTAAAAACACAAGAAAATATCATGTTAAAAGGTTCGCACGTGGGCGCACGTGCGCGCACGCACCCGCACGCGGGTTCTTAAAATCAATGCGCACGGGATTTTTAAAAATTCGCGCACGCGCACGCACGCGCACGCGGTTTTCGGGTGTTTTTTCCAATTTTGACTCAAAGTAAAACTCGATTTTTATCGGGTTTTACATGGACTAATAAAAAAAAAGCTAGAAACAAAGAATTTTTAGATTTTGATAAGGAATTCAAAAATATAGTCAAAATTATTTATTTCGAAAATTTCGTAAGTTTATTTTGACTTCTCGGTTGGGAAAAGAAGGGTATTAAGAATCTATCGGCTAAGAATTTCTCGAGTCTTCGCAGAAATTTCGTGCACTTCTTTACCAAACGTGTCCGAAAAAACACGACGAAAAAATCAGAAAATTGCCAAAATGGAAATTTTGGGTTCATTTTTAGACAAGTTTTGGACCATTTTTTCTGGTCAAAATTTTTTCTTCTTTTCGCCGATAGATTTTCAACCCTTTTATTATCACTCAAAAAGTCCAAATTTTTCCAGCCAATCAGGTTTTTCGGAATTTTGTTCCTAAAAATACCGATTCTCGTCGACCCCCGACTTAAAGGCTTTTTTCGCTTACTATTACGGTAACAAGAGCAAAAACAATATTCATAGTCTGCTTCTGGTTTCTCTTGTATCTTGTCATTGTGAATTACAGTGGCAACTAATTGCCCCAAAAACAAGCTCCTCTAGCTAGTTCTTCAATAACAACGTCTAGAAAATCATGATGCGAGATTCTTTGGCGTATTCTAGCGTGATTAAAAATGCCTGATTAAAGCACAAAAATTTAAACACCCCTTGCGCACGCAAAACGTTCTCTTTTCGACTCCTTGTGGCTTAAAAAAACCCATAAATTTTGGTTATTGGCGTTCATTATCGTTATCCTAGAACAAATCAATTTATTTTAATAAATTTTAACACATTCTTCCTTCTGAAAAATTGAGCAAAAATTTTTGGTAAAAAGCGAAAGCGAAGCGAATTCGCCTCGTGAAGCCAAGCGAATCCTGACGCCTGATTATAAGGATACTCAAGAGTATAGAACCAAAAACACAGAAGTTTTCTTTGTTGATTTTGAGGACCATAAATGCAAAAAATCAAGATGGGTTAATGAATTTTTCGGTTCAGTTTGAATCGTTGTAATCCTATCAACTACTGAAAATACTTGATATAAACAGAATCCATTTCTATTTTAATTGATTAGATATTATAAGTGACATCGTTGATAAATGATTAAAGAAAAAAATGCAAAAACTCAATCATTTTATTGATAAGTAATCGATTAATAAGAAATTGGTTTTTGCCATAGTTGAAAAAAATACCCGAAACTCGCGTGCGAATTTTTCTCGAAATTACAGTTTGTTTCCATTTTTCCGGAGTCCATTTTTCCGGACACTTTTCCGATTATAAGGCATTTAAGTTGGGCACTGCAAAATTAACCATGGTCCAATTTTCCGGACATTTTTCAACAAAACGTCTTTTGGGCCCCTAGGCTAATAGGTTTTCTTGTGTCATCGTTAGGTAAGAAGCCGAGTCATCGTCGGAGCTAGCTATTATTGCTATTATTGGGCTGTTAGGCGACGTGGCTTTACCAAGCATCTCTCGACCCACTCATATATTTAGCCTAGGGGCCCAAAAGACGTTTTGGGCCACACATGCAGCAACAGGAAAGACGTTTTAGGCCGCACATGCAGCAACTGGACGACGTTTTAGGCCACCACCTATTTTAGTAAACAAATTACATATTGACTGCTTTGTTAACGGGTTTATGATCGAGCATTTTATATCATTTCACCATGAAGATCCCTCAGAAGACCTGACCTTGATTTTAGTCAGTATTTGCGTATGGTCACCATATTATTTCGCGAGTTGCTGAGTGTAAGCGCTTATTTATCGCATCGATATTTTAAGAATATTTGTCTTATTATATGATATAGCATTCTTTTTAATTCTTGGAAGATGTTTTTGATAAGAATCAACCTAATAGAGAGTCAAAAGTAAATACAGACAGTTCATAGTTTCATATTATGGTCTTTTATTGTGCTCTTTTTTAAGATCTAGAATGATTTGGGTGATAATGAGTTTCTCATTTTCAAGAATCGAAATAAGGGTGAACGGCATTCTGCAAATGCAGAATGGCATTCTGTAAATACAGAACTGCGTTCTGCACTAAAAAAGATACCGATGAAAGAAGGGGGTTTCCCTGGACTCGAGCCCGAATAAACGACACCAAGTGTGCGTTTTTCGCTTTTTCACTAAGCGGAGAACAACGCGGAAGAACCCGCCAGAGGAAGACTTCCCTTTTACGAAAAGAAAATCCTCTCACTGAACACTTGCATTTTTGGATTTTTTGGAACTCAAAATACTCATATACCTCTATTCCTATATACGTCCTATACTACCTATATTCGTCATGAAATTTTTTTTTGAGAAAAATCGAAAATTTTCATTTTTTTTGAAAAGTAATAAAAATAATTTTAAAAACAGAAAGAACTGATTAAAATTGGACGATTTTTTGAATTTCTGCGCAAAAGCTCTTGATAATCTTTTTAATCTTTGTATTTAGAGCAAATCTACTGTCACAGTAAAATGCTTTGATTAGAGCGCCTTGTGAGAATGACAAATATTATAAAAATTTGATTTCTTGATCTTGATTTTGATTTTAAAAACCGAGTAATCCGATCAAAAACCCGAAAACCGAGCGACCAAAAAACGGACCAGACCGACCGAACCGACAACGGATACGGCCTCTTATAGCAGGGACTGTCCAAACGGGAAAAAAGAACTTCTCCACGCACTCGCTAGAGCGAATTCTAAAAGGGCGCGCGAGAGGCGCGAGGGTGGAGCAGCTGAGGCACACGCGAGTAACGCGGTAGGAGATGGGCACACCCGGTAGGTATAATGGGGGTAAGAGGGATTCGCCTGCCCCCCAGCGGGTGACAAGCCCTACACGGCCGAACTGCCCAACTCTGCGGGAAACAGCGAGGCTCACTGGGAAATCGCAAATTTATCGAGGAAAATACAAATTTGACCATGGTCCATGGAGATTCCAAAAATCACACTTAAAACTTCCGAAAACGTGAGTTTATTCAATAAAACCTCCATCAAAGTTCATCCTATTGTAATCAAATTTTAATCCAGCTGTCTTGTGATCTTCTCTTCTGTTTGAAAAGTCTTTTTTAATCATCCAGCTAATCTCTTATTACGTTTCATCCTCATCCAGCTGATCTGGGAGACTAAATCTTTCCACCCACCAAGACTGAGTCTCAACTTTCAATTTATCTGAAAATCATCTTGACCCGAACTGCCTAACCATACTGTATGGTATGGACCATACAGTATATCATATATAGCCCATTTCATCATGCATTGTTTTGCTGAAAATAACTCTTTTTCGATAATTGTGTATCTTGACTGAGTTTCATTAAAATTACCACTATTATAGCCCACAGGAATCAAGCACTCGCTCGAATGATGATGAGACTCCTCCCTACAATTTTTCTCACAGATATACAGGACACCACCATAGGCATTATTTGACGCATCTGTTTCAAGAACAAACAGTGCGTCTTCTACAGGGGTTATTTTAAGTTTCATCGCATTATCACAAATAATACTCTGAAGCTTTTTAAAGGCTTCAGTAGCATCATTCGTCCATAAAAACCCATTTCTCCAAGTTTTTGTTATAGGTAATGCGATAGCCGCAAAATTTTTAATAAAACGCCTATGAAAATTCAAAAGCCCAAAAAGGCTTTGTGCACTTTCTTTGGAGCATGGAATTTGTAAATTTTTTATTGCTTGAATTTTATCAGTTGAAGGAGAAATATTGCCATCCGAAATAAAATAGCCGCAAAATGTCACTGATCTCGTAAAAAATGAAGCTTTACGTGAATTTATTCTTAAATTATTTGCGTCTAGAATGTGAAAAAACTTTTTGATATTTAAGAAATGCTGTTCTTCTGTTTTACTATGAATAAGAATATCATCCATGTACGGTAAAATCTCAGATTTTTCTACGCCTCTAAGGGCCTGATCAATAACTCTCATGAAAAAACTTGGAGCATTTCGACAGCCCATCGGCATTCGCAAAAATCTAAATTGTCCAAATTCGTTTGAGAATGCGGTTTTATCTTTTGCCTCCTCTGAGAGAGCGATCTGGTGGAAACCCTTAATCAAATCTATCGAAGAAAAAATAGTGCTTTTATCTAAGTAAGACAAAGAATCCTCTAAATTTGGCAGTGGATGATGTATCTGTACTGTTTCATCGTTCAATTTTCTAAAATCGATAACGAGACGGAATTGCCCATTCTTTTTTCTGACCAAAATACATGGACTATTCCATGGGCTTGTGCATCGTTCTATCAATTTATTACCCATAAATTTGTCTAAAAGATCTCGAAGAACATTTCGTAAGCTAAAAGCGGTGCGATATGGAGCTGATGAGATTGGGAATTCTGTATCTGTGTCTATTGAAAATTTTTCAATCGTACATTCGGGGAGTTCATCATCATCATCCAAAAAAAGGTGAACAAAATCATCAAGAAGGGCGTCAAAATTCATTTTTATTTTTGGAGAGTTAATCCTTCCGACGGAAATATTTTTCAAGTTTTTATGCTTTATATTTTTGATTCTTGCAATCTCGACAATTTCGTGCAATTTAACAAAAATCGTACCCGCGGGGATTCTTATTACTGTATCTGTCGGATTAACAACAAGAAGACGAAACTTTGGGGAATTTTTATCGACAACCTGAAAGCTAGGAATAAGCTGCAATTTTGAATTTCCAAGATTAGATTGATCGAATGAGAGACTTTTTGAGCGGTCAAGATTGTCTATTTTTAAATCAATAATGAATTCTGATTTTGGCCTAAATAAAAAAGTTTCCGTCGAGAATGCATCATATTCACTGCTATTTTTCTTATCATCATTGTCCTCGACAGTGTCTTCCGCAACAACTTGATTTAATTTCGCAAAACGCTCTATCGGTCCAGATTGAATAATTCTACGGCGATGTAGATTAATCATTATTTCATTATCTTGTATAGCAGGAACACCCAAAATAGGGCTAAGATTATCGGGAACGACATAAAACTCTGATTTGCCCCAATTAACATTTTCGATAATTATATCCGCTTCGACTTTCCCCAAAATCTCAATATGTCCGCCGGAATAATTAACTGCTTCAGTTTTTGTTTTTTGAATTTTTATGTTTTTTGGTACATTTTTCTTACAAATACAATTTAATTGTGAACCGGTATCTAACAAAAATCGAACAGGTGAGTTAAAAATATTTACATTTACATAAAATTGCTCTCCAATTTTGTTAATTGAGATTTTTGGAACGGTTATTTGACCAGAATTCGCTCCAAAATCTAGTTTTTTGCCTGATCTTGGCTGTTATTCTCCCGTCTTTTCAAGCAGTATCTGCCAATATGACCAAAACCCTGACACTCATAACACTTAATCTTGGGGCACCTCGGTTTGACATGACCCCATTGTTGGCAATTTTGGCAAAAAGGGGCCGCTTGGGGCGGTTGTTGAAATCTCGGAAACGGAAACGGGGGGATAAAATTTGCTGAGGCAGGCGGGTTTGCAGGTCTGCTCATATCCTGATTT